CACTTTCACATCCCTAGTGGATATACAGTGGATAACCTCAACCCACTTTATGTGTAACCAGTTTAACACATTCCATTATGGAACTTGATCCTTGAGCTGTTACTGATACTTGTAATTCTGTTGAACTCATTAGGCCTATTTAAATGAGTGTGGGAAGCTGGATTTAGCCCACGCTTAGTTGAATTTCTCGCTTTACCACAAAAAATGCACACACTTTCTCTTTTTAAAATTTATTTTTAAGCATTCAGTGTAGCTGTTCAAAAGGATTAAATAAAAGTCCAACTTCTGGTCAGGAACAAATTTGCATTAAAAAGAGTGGGTTATGTACTGTAGCTTGGAGTTTATAAGGTTACATGTTGAAGCAGCTTTTTTATTTATTTATTGATGGAATAGCTTAGTATTATTGGATTTGTGTTGTCAATTCAAAGGGGAATAGTTTTCCCATTTAAAACTTTAACTACAGTTTTGAAGGTTTTCAGATGTCTTCAGAGGAAAAAGTAAACTTTAAGAGAGTGATTACAGAATATTGGCTAATTAGCTGTAGTGTAGCTGTTTTAATTACTTTTATCCCTGAAGCCACATGACTATGCAGATGACTAGCAGATGACTTATTTAAAAAAAAAAAAAAGAGTGTTCACACTGCAAGGTTAATGAGCCTAATTAAATATAGTTTTCCCTAGCCAGACTCTCTAAATCATAAAGTGTGTGTATGTGTGGGGGAAAAAAGGGGGGGAATCTAAGGCAAACAGTTCTGTTTAAAATAATGGTTATGTTCTGAATTTTAATAGGCAAAAGCTAGGAGTGAGACTGATTTTTTTTCTGAATAAAGACATTTATGTTTAAAGGTCTGGTGAGATCCTATGTTGGAAACTTTGAAAATCTATTTAGAGATGATTATGCTGATACATATTTATTTGTTTTCTCTTTCCCCAATCCCTTCTTAATTATAAGAGATGTGTGCTTGAAGAAAGGATCTGTGCTGCATAGGAGTCTCCATCTGCTCTTGCTTATTACCATAACCTTTGTCCTTCTACACCACATCACTTTAATATTTTTTGTTACCCTCAGACTTTGCATCATGTCTAATATCAGACTGTAAGCTCTTTTTGGCAGGGATTTTGGTCCAGGTTTTTAAAGGTATTTAGGCATTGCTCTGCTCAGCACTGTAATCTGTAAAAATCTGGGTTTTTGTCTTATTTGTTCTGGTAAGCACCCAGCATGCTTTTTCAGTGCTGTCATAGTAATGGTAATTAATATTGAGCAGATGACTTTTTAAGGGGGTAGTGAATCAGGAAGCTGAAAACATAAGTTGAGTTAACAGAAGCTTCCCTGAATACAGGAATGGGCAATAAGCAGCCTGAGGGCTGGACATGGTTCACCAGGGTTAGCCCCCAACAAGCTGCCAGATGCTTCATTCACCTGTGCGTCCGCAGGTATGGCTGCTTGCAGCTCCCATTGGTGGTGGATCACCGTTCCTGGCCAATAGGAGCTGTGGGAAGTGCCGTGGGTACTTGCTAGTACAGAGAACTCTTCCATCCATAGACAATGAGTTTTTCTTTTCACCAGGGGACTCCACTCCTGCTTTGCCACGAGACCCTAGCTCTGGTCCACTCCATCCTGAAGGCCTCGCACTGCCTCTTCCTAGCCCTTGCTTTGAGGTTCCCACCCACTCGCTGCCCTTCACCCACCCACCCACAAGTTGCACCTCCAGTTTTCAAACAACTGTTTGATGGTGTCTTCAATCAAATGTTTGGCAGCGCCCTAATCAGCTAATTGGAGGTACAGCCAAACAAGCTGATTGCGGGTGCTGCTAAACACCTATGGCTGGCGCATGCTGAGCACCCAATTTTTTTTTTCTGAGAGTGGTCCAGTGAATTGGAGAGCTTCACCTATTGACATAGGACTGTCCACACTGGCACTTTGGTCAGTGTAACTTCCATTTTCAAAGGGGTGGCTTTTCCACACCCCTGAGAGACTTAAGTTATACCGAAGTAAGTGATAGTGTATACAAACTCTAAGGAATCAGCTACCTTATAGTTAAACTGTTTACATGTGAATGTGCATGTTCAAAAGTCCAGGTCTATTTCATTTATGAAAAGTTCTTAAAGGGATGAAAATCTATTCCCAACCCCAGGGTATAAGAACATATAGCTATAGTGCTTTCATATGTTTTCAGAGATATGGGCCAAGCCCAGAGTGCTCCTTTGAGACACTATGTACAGGTTTTTGACTTAACTAATGCAGAATCATTGAGGTTCTTTTTCTCATAAAGTGTGTTATTTATATAAATTCCCCTCTCTCTGATTTTGAAGCATAAGTGGATATATATGGTGAATGCTGCTGCAGTCTTGATTGAAACCTTGATGGAATGATCGTTTGTTCTCTCAAATTGTATCTGACACACTTGGTTCATTCCGATTTCTCTTCTTGCAGCTAGTGTTTTCTCTGTGTCTTTTTTGCTCGTTTAATTATCGGTAAATAAATACATGGCAGTAAGAAATATTGGCATGATGGAATGTTAAAATTTTGCATGCTGTTACTGATACAGTAAAGATGTCTCCAGTTACTCTGCTTATAAATGCAGTTAAAACACTACAGCAGGACAGCTGCAGCTGCCCTGCTGTTGCGCTTCGGTGTAGACACTACCTACATGGACAGGAGATTTTCTCCCATCCATATAGATAATTAGCTTTCCCAAAAGGTGGTGTCTAGACTGAGGAAAGAATTCTTTTACTGACCTAGTGCTGTCCTCACTGGGCATTAGGTTGCCTTAGCTACATCACTCAGGGGTATGGTTTTTTTCTCACCTGGAGTAACATAGCTGAGTGGAGCTAACTTTTTAGCACAGACCAGACCTTAGTTTCTTGCCTTTGTTCTGTGGTCTCACCACATCTGTCCTTAACTTCTTGGTCACAGTAGTTTCCTCCTTGTGCTTCCAGCCAATCCCAGGTACTAAATTAGGAAAACGGGTTGTGCTTAAAAATGCATTGTCTAAATATATTTGAACTAAGAAGATTTAAACACAAACATTGACAAGGCTTAACAACTTTAAAAATGTGTTAGCTAGTCATAATCAACACTCAAGTCCCATAAGGAAAAAAATTTGGGTCAATGTTTCCAAAGGTTATTAGTAATTTTGGTTGCGTCAGCTGTTGGGTATCCAACTTAAGACTCTTCAAAGGGAGCTGATTTTTCAGAAAATGCTGAGCTCCACTAAGCCCCTTCAAGGTACTTCCATAAGGTTTAAAAATAGAGCCACTTGGAATCATTAGTCACTTTTGGAAATTTTATCTTTGAATCTTTGCTCTATCCATAGCTAAATTGTCCTCAGAGTGACTACGGAGCTTAGTTCCCTGTTCAAGAGAGATGTAGGAAGAACTAGATACAGTGTGGTTGACAATGGATTTATAGGGTATTTTTTCTATTTATAGGGTATATATCCATCTGCCTTTAGTTTCATTGTTGACTCATTGTTGGATCTAAAGGATATGTACACAAGTGAACATTAATTCAATTTAAAACCTTTGCATTGTCATACCAGTGAAAGTTTCAAAGTAGAAGATACAGAAGGCCCAACCCTAGAATGGTTGGAGCATCCTCCACTGTCATTTGCTAGTTAGCCTGATTTGAAAAGTGGAGGTTGATTTTAGGTGCTTCCAATTTTTGGTGCTCAGCTTGGAACATCTTAGACCAGACTCTCAGAAATGGGGAGAAGCCACAGCTCCTGATGACTTCACTTAAAGTTTGTGGATGCCCAGCATCCAAATCAGTGCCAACTTTTAGGCATCCTGCATTCAGTTTCCTTAAGTGCTGAGAATGCGAAGCACCTCTTAGGCAGTATGCAGCATCTCATAGGTTCTGAGGCACTCAATTTGTGTGTGTGTGTGTGTGTGTCTTACTAAGGATGGAAAAAAACATCAATCAAATGGTCTGGTAGCACTTTATGGACTAACAAAACATGTAGATGGTATCATGAGCTTCTGTGGGCACAGCCCACTTCTTCAGATGACCAGAGTTACGACTAGAGGATAGGAAAACTCCTCTAGTCCACCCTTTCTCCTGATATTTTATGTATAGAGGTAGAGGGGTGGATGACAGAGTATCTTTCTCTCCCCTCCCCTCTTCCCTTCTGTTTATTTCGAGTTTTCCTATTCTCTAGTCATAACTCCGGTCATCTGAAGAAGTGGGCTGTGCCCACGGAAGCTCATGATACCATCTATGTGTTTTGTTAGTCCATAAAGTGCTACCAGACCATTTGCTTGCTGGTTTTTTTTTGTAACAGACTAACTTGGCTACCCCCTGAAGTTACTAAGGATGGTTCTGGAAACTGATACTGGGCCTGATCTTTAGGCTGCTAGTTGAAATTTACCTAGAACAATAGTGAACTAATGATGGTTCTGGAAACTGATACAGGGCCTGATCTCTAGGCTGCTAGTTGAAATTTACCTAGAACAATAGTGACTAAGACGCCTTATCCTCACAGCTTTGGTGAAAGATGATGGCATGAGTATAAATCCCAGACGACAAGTGTCCACCTCATAATTGGTAATAACTGGCAGCCTGAGCAGAGTCAGAATGGGCATGATCTTGCTCCTTGAGGAACAAGTCAGGTATTAGTGAAGCACCCTGGTGGGCAGTGTGAAGAAGCTGAACAGCAGTATTTTGAGCTGTACTTCTAGGCATAGAGGATTTCAGAGTCCACGACTAGAAATCTGCCATTCTTCATCACCATTAAAGTAACTCAGAAGTTTTAAAGGGAAACAAAAAGCCAGTATATACATCTGTTTCATAAAGCCTTCCCTTGAATAAATGTTGACAAGATGTCATGCTAAAGAGGCTTTTAATATTTTGGATTGCTGAAAGGCCTTTATGTGCTGAAAGGAGCACACGAGTCCAAAGCTACCTTCAAAGGACTTGTATTATAAGAAGAACATTTCCTTTTGCAATACCATTAAGAAATATTAAAAATACACTAAAGTTAATGGGAGTCTTTTTCCTAGACCTTGGCTCAATCTCAAGAGTGCAAGTGAATCAACCTGCAGTTATAAGGCATGCAGAACAAATTCAGTCACGAAGAACTGTGAAAAAGGATTGGCAAGTATGTATTCTTTTTAAGCATTCTGTTCCTGTATATTTAAAGCAGGCATTTTCCCTCTCTAGACTGTAGTATTGAATTTCATTCAAGATGCCTATAAACTTAAAAGATTGTGGTTGTCCGCATCTTATTTTAATAATTTGTATTTGATGATGAGGAATTGGACTAAGATGACACATTATTCCAAAAAAGTTAAAAACCTGATAACTCATGAGTGGCCGAACTACAAATGAATTTCAGGCATCTTTATTCATGAGTGGATTAAATGGTATGTTACTATACTAGCATATTTATTCTGTTTCCCAGACAGATCTCTCTACAAAGTCTTTTTTTTTTAATTTAAAAGCATGTACGATATGATTGTGGTCCCCGTCATGTTTGACCTATTTAACTGTGCTTTTGCTTAACAATCCCAAATGTATGATTTTTGCTTAACCAGTTGTTATATACAGGCAGTCCCCGCGTTACATGGATCCGACTTACATCGGATCCCTACTTACAAACGGGGTGAGGCAACCCCGCACTAGCTGCTTCCCCCCAGCAGACCAGGGAGACGCGGAGCGGCTTTTCTCAGCAGACACTTCAGCTTGAGAATAAAGGACTGAGGGAAGTGAGGTGTGGGAGAATAAAACTGAGCTCTGGAGAAATGTTTGGCTAGAGTTTCCCCTACAATATGTACCAGTTCCGACTTACATACAAATTCAACTTAAGAACAAACCTACAGTCCCTATCTTGTACGTAACCCGGGGACTGCCTGTACAACTTAAATACTCAACTTATGGTGGGACTCATGGTAAAGAAACTGTATATCATGCATAGTAAGGGAGCTGATTCTGCAACCATTGTATGTATTGAGCAGTATTTTTCCAGCAGTCCTACTGGCTTCAGATGGGCTACTTGCATTCATAAATGTTCAACATGCATAACATTTATGGAACTGGAATCCTGTGATAGGAAACCTGGCAAGGTGCAAGACTTGGCCACATTTTGCCTTCAAAGACACTACTTTCAAAGATTCCGGTGGGTGGATAGAGGATAGCACTTAACCCACAGGAAGTGGTGGAAGCATTTTACATAAGAACATAAACATAAGAATGACCATACTGGGTCAGACCAAAGGTCCATCTAGCACAATATCATGTCTGTTGACAATGGCCAATGCCAGATGCCCCAGAGGGAGTGAGTATAGTAGGTAATCCACACGTGATCCCTCTCCTGTCACCCATTTCCAAACAAACAGAGGTTAGGGACACCATTCCAACCCAGCCTGGTTCATAACGATTGCTGGACCTAACCTCCATGAATCTATCTAGCTCTTTTTTGAACCCTGTTGAAGTTCTAGTCTTCGGCACATCCTCTGGCAAGGAGTTCCACAGGTTGACTGTGGAAGACAACCTTCCACAGCACAGCACGAAGACAAGCTTCCTTTCGTTTGTTTTTGCTGGGTAAAAGATGTAAATAATCATTTTTTATTTTCATCAGTAGAAAAGTCAGGAATAAGAGCTCATCAAAAATATTTGCTGACCACATTAAAACCGAGTCACCTGTTCCACTGTCATTTTAGGGCAAAGGAAATGTTTACTGCTACACATCACAAAATAATTCTGATTAATTATGGAGACAGTAATGGAAGCTGGACGAGTTTCTGATTCACATTTACTATGTCGGATGATTCTTCAATAACATGAATTAAATTGGTACGATTTCAACAAAGCAGTTTTAAATTGGTACGATTTCAACCACAAACATTAAACTGTTCTTTTACTCCCCTTTTGCAAGCACATTCATAAAATACAGGCAGTCCCCGGGTTACGTACAAGATAGGGACTGTAGGTTTGTTCTTAAGTTGAATTTGTATGTAAGTCGGAACTGGTACATATTGTAGGGGAAACTCTAGCCAAACATTTCTCCAGAGCTCAGTTTTATTCTCCCACACCTCACTTCCCTCAGTCCTTTATTCTCAAGCTGAGGTGTCTGCTGAGAAAGAACTATCCACAATAACTCCAAGATCTCTTTCCTGATTTGTCCTAGCCAAATTAGGCCCCATCATACTGTATGTATAGTTGGAGTTATTTTTCCCAACGTGCATTACTTTACACTCATCCACATTAAATTTCATTTGCCATTTTGTTGCCCAATCACTCAGTTTGGTGAGATCTTTTTTGAGTCCCTCACAGTCTGCTTCTGTCTTGACTATCCTAAACAGTTTGGTATCATCCGCAAACTTCACTGCTTACCCGTTTCTCCAGATCATTTATAAATAAGTTGAACAGGATTGGTCCCAGGGCAAAGAAAAGCTACCCCTGATCTGATTACACCAGTTGTATAAAAATTCACAAAGTAGGTAATAATGGTTTATCTCTAGGAATAAACTGAAAACTTTATAATATATCAATTTCCTAATTCAGTATTTAATGGGCATTTCTACGTTTATAGCTGGAGGTAATTCAGTGTTTAATGGGCATTTCTACGTTTATAGCTGGAGGCAGCTGTCTTGTCAAAATTTGTGATGCTAGAGGCCAAATTCTATCCTAGTGCAAATCACCAACTATTTGCTGAACCACCAAAAGGTGATGCCATTTTAGATTTGCAGTTGGTGAGTAGCAAGTCCCCATAATAAAACTAGCTGAAGGGGATAATATAGATTCAAGTAATCATGAACCAGTTCAGTTTAAACAAAATGAAGGATAAACAAAAATAGATCTTCAAGTAAGGTCCTTGATTTTGAAAGGGCAAACTCCCTTTTTAAAAAAATTAGCTAGAGAAGTGGCGTGAGCTGATGAACTCAAGGATCTGAATGTGGACGATGCTTGGTTGCAGACGAAGCTGGATGAGCAAGCATCTCAAATAGGTGATTAAGAGAAAGCAGATAACCTACGAGGAATGGAAGTTGTGAGGGAACAGCAAGGAAAGCTACCCTTTGGAGGTCAGAAAATGTAGGATTAAAGTGAGAACTGCCAAAAGCTAAGCAGAGCTGGACCTTGCAAATGAATGAAAATGAATAGTAAAAGCTTCTCTAGCCATACAAATAAGAAGAAAACAAAGAAAGTAGTGGCACCGCTGAGCACTGAGAGTGGGGTGGAGATTAAAAATACTGTAGGTGTTATGCTGTCTGTCTTGGGACACAGCTAAGAGTGCCAATCTCAGGTTAGACAGCCAGAATACGGGACATATACCCCAGAGTCATAAAGTGACATACTTGTTAGCCCATAAAATCACTAAACTGCTTCACAGAGTGTTGAACGTACTACAAATGTTTGCTAGATATGGCATAAACAACTTAGCTGTTTTCAGTAATTCCTCGCAAGATTCGCCTAAATCATATAAGACATTGTGTTACAAAAACTGCAGGAACCCAGCCTCACTGTCAAGATCTCCAAATGCAAAACAGGGTTTTCAAAAATATTCTATATATGAAGAACAGTGAGTTGGCCTTGATCTCTTAGAAGTAGAATCTATCAGAAGCTGCCCTGCTCCTAGAACAAAGAAGCATGTCCAACCCATTATTGGTGTGGCTAACTATTATAATAGGTGTGTAAGTGGGCTTAGGAACGTTGCCCCCGTAATAATTCTTACAAAGAATAGGAAATTCTTGTGATGTACTCGACAGTGTTTGGGATAACCCTTCCTACATCCGTTTTGCGTAGGAGGTGTGACTGTATTAAAAGAGAGATGACCATGTCTACACTAAGGTATCACTGTGCAAATGTTCAAGGATACCGAACAAGCTGACCTCAGAGACAAACTTTCTAAGCAGAAGGCATGGTATAAGAAAAATATTTGTAAACACTCATCTGTAATGAAAATTACAGTGCTAGTGGTATACTGTGTGATGAAAAAGGTTTACCATTAGCACCATAACTAGTTACTAGTTTTTCCTTCACCTTAGTGTTTCCCTTGGCATTGGCTTTTAATTCCTGTCCTTGGGGCTTTGGTATTTTAGGGTTCAGTGTGGTAAGGATGTAGGGGAATCTTGCATACTAGCAGATCCACTGTGGAGCTGTAGCCAATACCATGATTGTGCACATTCAAAAAAGCCCATTGCTCTTAAGTTGTGGCTCTCACCTTCAGGATTGAGCCCTTCTTTGCCTCCTGTTCCTTGGGCAATTGTACAAATTTGTTATTTAAAAGAATGTACTTGCTGACTAGGAGTGTCCTTTTCTAGCAGCCTCCTCTCAGCAGCTTTCTTTGGGTAAGTGGCTGGGGGCAAAGCTCCCTCCCCACTTTCAGACAGGTAATTTGCACTTTTATGGACACCACTGGCTGCTTAATTTTGAATCTACAGCCATTACAAATTCAAAGACTGGACTCTGTCTCAAAGAGATACAATCAGTTTCCACTCGCATATCAGGATCAGTGTCCTGAGGACTTTCAATTACTAATTTGCACTTCCACATGGAATCAGATGTGGCTGGTACTAGAGAACACTTTCAAAGAGTCTAGAGGTGGGAGTCTGCCTTCCAACACCCTTTGTGTTCACAAAGGTTTGCCTGCATGACTGCTCCACTCTGAAAAGTCAGTTACCCAGCCTACCCTCTGGATCTGAGACACAAGCTGTCTTTGTGGATGGACAGGTGCTGCATCATCCTCTCTGACCTGGGCACACCATAGGACAGTGTTTCTCAAAGTGTGGTCCATGGACCACTAGTAGTACGTGACCATCTTGCAGATGTCATGTTCTCTAGACCTTTAATCATTCTTGTCTCTCTTCTCTGCGTTCCCCCCCCCCTGCCAATTAAAAATAACACGGGGGGCTTCTGGTGGGCAGACACGGGTTTGCGGTGCTTCGTGTCACGGGTTAAGCCTCGTCGTGCCCCTATTGGGAAGCGCTTCCCCCACTTTCTAGGTTTAGGTGCAACACACAACACAGGACAGACACATAAGTTCCTGTTTGCTGGAGCCCAACTGCTTTGAACAGGGACCAGGGCTCTTCACTCCGGGAACTGCTTCTCCAGTCCCTTAGACCGAAAACATTCATTAACTCCATTCCATCGGGTAGCACT